CTCCCACCGCCATGGACTCCAAGTTGTTGGAGATCCTGGACGAGTGGGAGGAGGGAATGTTTATGTTCCCTGAGCTGCTCGCAGAAGCGTACACCACGTTTCTCGGGCAGCTCATCAGCTCGTCCGCGGCAGAGCGGCGTGACCCTCGTGTCATTCCTTTCCTGCTCGCCGGCTACCTGGCCTACCTCAAGGACCAGAAGGGGGCGGACCCACATGCCGCACTGACCTACCGCATGGCCTTGGCCATGGTCGGGTGTGGTTCAAACGTGACACCCTATCCAGCCGCTCCACCAACAAGACCCAGTACGCCTCCAGCGACGGCCGCCTTGCCACGCCCATCCACGCAACCGGCCAAGGCCGCCAAGTCACAGGCTGACACACCCCCGGCACGGCCTGCCACGCCAGATTTTTGGCCTTTGACGCCATCTCAGCCCTTTACGCCCCCTGCAGAGCTTTCCTCGCCATCTAGACCCCAAAGGCTTCGGTCACTCTCCCCTCAACCAGCCCCCTCGAAACCCCGGTCTCCCTCGCCAGAGGTCGCCAAGCGACCCAGGGAGGAGGAGGAGGAAGAGGTGGCAGAGGAAGACAGGCCTACCTTAGAGGTCCTTCAGACAAGGGAGAGGGTACTCAAGCGGTTTAAAGATACAAGGTTCCGCGAGGAAGTGATTCAAATTAAAGGATTAGGTGGGTCATTGCCCTCTGAACAACTTATGATCGATATGTTTGACACGATTCTCAAGCGGCAGCGTGAGGCTACGCATGCAAAAGATGACGACAGAGTTATTTTGGAAATTCAACCCTCAGAGGATACACAAAACCCTCTGTGGTTTTCGATGAGACGTGCCGATCAATTTTCAGGTCAAGTCATTATTGACAAATTGTCTCGTGTTTTGAACAGCAACCAAAATTTTATTTCCTCAGAAGGTACGCTGACAGTCAGCTACATTCACATTCCGATTCCTGAGGCAGGAGGTCGTCGCACCAAACGAGTCCCCAATGAGACCATTGCTCAATGGCTTGTGCGATTCATCGACTCGTCGACCATTTGGTCTCCAGACAACACGGACGACAACATGTGCCTCGCTCGTTGCGTGGCCGTGGCCATGGCGCGGGGATCAATGCACCGCCAAGCTTTCTATAAAATGAAGCAGCGTGATTCGAACCCTCAGAGAGAGAAAGCTGAGAAGTTGTGCGAATTAGCACACATTGATCCCCAGAAAGAATGTGGCTTAGATGAGGTACGCCAGCTCCAAGACGCACTTCCCGATATACGTCTTAGTGTTTTCACTGACAAAAAGGGACAAACGTGTGTTTTCAAAGGAGAGTATAGCGCTGGTCGTAAAAATGTTTATCTTCTCCTGCATGACAAACACTTTTATGCTATCTTTTCCCCATGCCAGGCGTTTGAGTACAGGTATGAGTGCGTCAAGTGTGTTGCTTTTTACAACAATCAACAAGACCACAAATGTGAAGGAGTATGCTGGCGTTGTTTCGGTTCTGACGACCACTCTGACCCTACACTCCAATTGCGCCGCTGTGAAGACTGTGGTCACCAGTTTGCAGGTGATGCCTGTTATGACTATCATAGGACAGTCAAACTTGTCAACAGTGACATGACCAAGTGCCAGACTTTTCGATTCTGCACAAAGTGTAAGAAAAGTTTCTCTTTGAAACGGGGGTTAGTTCACGTTTGTGGCACTGTCTACTGTAAATACTGTAAAAATAATGTCAAGGAAAACCATTTGTGTTTCATGACAAACTGGTCAGAAAAGGAGTTAAAGAAGGGGTGGCGCCGGGTTTCTATTTGGTATGATTTAGAATCGACACAATGTGATTCACTTGATGACAATGACAACATCTTTGAACATAAACCTAATCTTCTGGTGTCCCAGGCGGTTTGTGATACATGTGCACACGTGTCGCAAAATGATCACTTCTGCACAACATGTCAAACTCGCCAGCACATTTTTCACAACATGGATGATAAAAACATAAACGTTGTGGGACAGTTTATCGACTATCTACAGTCCTTCCCAGCAAAGGTTGAGCTCTTGATTACAGCACATAACGCAAAGTCGTATGACTCAGTGTTCCTTTTGCAGGAAATGATAAAGAGACAGTTAAAGCCTGAACTTGTCCTCCAAGGGTCAAAAATTATCAGCATGACTCTGGGTAACTGGAAGTTTATTGATTCCTTAATGTTTTTAACTATGCCCCTCTCTGCTATGCCGAAAAGTTTTGGATTCGAAGAGCTCAAAAAGGGTTATTGGCCCTTCTTGGCCTGTAAACCAGAGTTTTACAATTATGAGGGACCGTTACTTGACCGCGAGCTCTATTGTGTCTCAGGAATGAGGGGTAAAGCAGCTGATGAATTCAATCGCTGGTACGATGAAAAAGTCAAAAACAATTACGTTTTTAACTTCAGGAGGGAATTTGTCGAATATTGCATATCAGACACTACTATACTACGTCTTGCTTGCCAGGCCTTCCGCAAACTCTTTGCAGAACATGCAGGTTTTGACCCTATGGTCCAGTGTATAACTTTAAGCAGCGCATGTATGGCTGCATTTCGAAGAAATTTTCTTCAAAAGGACACTATTGGGATTGTTCCTCCCGGAGGGTACCATGGGCGGGGAAAACAGAGCCACATAGCTTTGAAATGGCTAGATTATGAATCTCACAAATTGGGCAGAGTCATTAAAACGATCTATACAGACCGTGAAGTCTCTATCATGGGGCGGCGAGTAGACGGATATGTGGAAATTCCAAAGAGAAATGGCACTCTAGAGAAACGTATATACCAATTTCACGGCGATTATTGGCACCAATGCCCTATACACTTTCCTCCTGGTCCTGAGTGTGGAGAGAATCGCCTAGAACAAACCCGCAGACTGACTGAAATGTTCAGAGAGGCAGGTTACACAGTCATTGAGAAATGGGAGTGTCAGTTTAACTCAGACCTTCAGAACGACGCTGACACTCAAGCCTACTTCAACACACATCCTACAGTGCGAGTGCCTCCTCTCTCCCTTCGCGATACTCTCGCGGGCGGGCGCACCAGTGCATTACGCTGGTATCATGAAGCGGATATTAAGAATGGGGAAAAAATAAAGATGGCTGATGTTATTTCAGAATATCCTAATGCTAATCTTCGTGGGAAATATCCCTACGGCCATCCCCAAATATTTCTCGAGGGAGATCCTGACATGCCTTCCGTAGACGAATGGAATGGGATGGTAAAATGTACCATTCTGCCACCACGAGACCTTTTCCTACCAGTTCTGTGGTACAAGGCAAATGGGAAGCTCCTGTTTCCATTGTGTCGCACTTGCGTTGAGGAAGAGAGCAAGGAAGTGTGCAAGCACGACGACCCCACACTACGCCAGTTGACCGGAAGCTGGTGTTCTCCGGAGCTACAGCTTGCTATCAAGGAAAAGGGTTATAAACTCATAGCTGTCCATGAGGTTTTGTTGTACCCTGGGACAATGGAATTTGACCCAAAATCGGGTAAGGATGGACTCCTTTCAGCTTACGTGAGGTGTTTCATGGCTTTAAAAATTGAAGCCAGTGGCTGGCCTCCTAACTGCACGACAGATGAGGAGAAAAAAGAGTTTGTTGCTGACGTTCTCAAACATGATGGCATCACTATCAACCCCGAAAACATGATATACAGGCCAGCTCTTAGGGTTCTAAGCAAGCTTATTTTGAACAGCTTCTGGGGAAAGTTTGGAGAAAGGACTTTGCGCCCTAAGACAGAGCTTATATATGATTACTCAGAGCTTATCAGAATTGTCTTGGATCCCACTAGGAAAGTACGAGCGATTGTACCTCAAGGGGAGACCTGTCTTCAGGTCAATTGGATCCCCATAGAGGATACGGAAGTGTCTCTTCCAACCTCCTCCCTCCTCCATGCAGCGTTTACTACCTGCTTCGGACGTCTACAACTTTACAAATACCTAGACATCGTGGGGAAGAGGGCCCTGTACCACGACACAGACAGCGTATGTTACATAAGCCGCCCTAACGAGCCTGATCTAACCGTGGGTACACACTTAGGAGATTTAACTGACCAAATAGAAGAAGAGTACGGCCCAGGATCCTTTATTACTCATTTTTGCGCCGGCGGCCCTAAGAATTATGGTTACATCGTGGCGGTAGGGGGTGACCATTCAAACACTAAGGTCTGCATTAAGGTGAGGGGGATAAGTATAAATAAGTCCTGTGATCACTTGGTCACCTTTGACAACCTAAAAGCGATGGTGATGGGGGAAAAAGAAAATGTCGTGGTCCCCATTCCACGCCAAATCGCTAGACTTTCCTCGTGGAAAATTGTCACTCGTCCAAGCAGCAAAAACTGGAAAGCTGTAAATACAAAGCGGCGCCGGGTGGGCGTCGAACTCACAGTACCTCTCGGTTACAATGCCTGGGGCGATGACGCCGACGAGGAGACACTAGAAAGAATGGACGACTTGTACACGGCCTAAAAAAAAACGTATTACACACATGCGCAGGGGAGGAGCAGGCTGGCCCTATAAAAGAGAGACGGGCACACAGTTAGTCATCAGTCTTGACGATGGAGTTGAGGTTTCAGCATCCCTGTACTGCCCTAGTGGTAGGTGGGACGGGAAGTGGGAAAACCCATTTCACAAAACGTTTAATTGAGAACAGAGCTGAAATGTTTAATGTTACACTTGAACAAATCATTTTTTATTACTCAGAGTGGCAGCCTCTCTACGAGGACCTGCGGGGCAAACACTCAGTGGATTTCAGACAAGAACTTCCCCTCCTCGAGGATCATCCCCCTGGCCAAGGGCCTAAGTTGATCGTCATTGACGATTTTATGGATGAAATAAAATCACACCACGAGGAAATCCTTAAGTTTTTCATCAAGGGCAGTCATCATCGAAATTTATCCATTTTCTTTTTAAGTCAGTGTCTCTATCCTGACGGCCTAAGACAGATCAGCCTGAACTCTCACTATATAATTCTCTTTAAAACCAGTCGAGATCTCGCTCAGATACGAACGTTCTGCATGCAAGTTGATCCTACACATTTTCGCGCTCTCCT